GCTCGAGCGTCAGGTTCCGCGCTTGAGCGGACCTCAAAATTCTGGAAAATCCAGAATGTGTTCTTGAGCTCCCTCTCAACATTCAAACCAACATTTCTTGCATTTTATGGCTCCAACCTCACATATTCTTGTACTAATATGGTATAAACACTAAAACACATCATCATGGAGCTCAATTTCATAAATCAAACACATGCATGCCCCAAATTGACACCAAACTGTCACGTCCCAAGCTCCGTGACAACGCCGCACACTCATTTAAGTGAGCATGCAAGGCTATGAGTCCAACACATAACTAACAATGTAAAATACTCCAATCAGATCCTTAATTATCATAATACTAAAATCCATAAAAAAAAATTGATTATTCTTATCATATGAAATTATCCACCAAGTCCACTAATAAAATCCATTAACAAAACAAATAATCCAAGTACTTAAATCATAGTCCTATTCTCGGCACTCCCATATGTAAAAAAAATCTCGCGCAGCTCTACTCTTCAGAATCTGAAAAAAATAAAATAAGGGTAAGCTAGACAGCCTAGTAAATAACCAACCATCACTGCCAGCTGGATCAAGTATTAAAAATAAATAAATAAATCGATAATCAATAAATATAAATTTTTTTACAGTTCAATAAATGAACAATTATTTTGTAAGATGGTTTCATAGCTAAAAATAAACAATGTACAATACATTTTAAATGAAAAGCCAACAAGATAATTCAAAGTAATTCATTGTTCAAATCGATGGTTCGATATTCAGATGGTTCAATGATTTGATTCACAAAACCCAAGTCTTATTGACTACGGTCACATAGCCCGTGACAAGGCCCAGAACCACACATAGGCCGGTGGTAAAGCCCCAAAAGAAACTAGTTTCTATGCCAATAAATAACCCCCATTGGCTAGGGTCCAAATCATAGTCAGACTAGAGTGATGTTCAAAATTCACACAATACACAAATTTTATATAAAACATTCGATATTTTCAGAATAAACGTTTAGTATAATTTTCAGAATAGTTTCACCGAATATTCAAATAATTTTCATAATAATATTCGATGTTGTTTTATACTTGACCCATATTTTATATTAAGAGAACAGGAAAGCTACGAATAAATATTTATGATTTTAAACGATTCGATAGGATTAAAAATAAACCAACAGTGATAGAGGGTTACTTACCTCAAACAGCTAAAATAATATTTCCCAAGCTAATCTCAAATTACCAAGATCCACCTCAATCTCACAAACCTAATAAAATATTATACCACATAAACAATTACTATTGATCACCATGATGCATCTATCATTCTTTTCTTTATAATGTAATAATCTAATCCTATAGTCTACAAGTAAATTCCAAAACCCCAAAATACATACACCCAATCAACATACAAGATACCATGTCTAAAGAAATAGTTAGGAGTACCATAAAAACAAATCTTACCTCCAAGAGATGATTAGATCAAAGCCACCAATCTATGAATCTTCTTTCTTTTCTTTTCTTCTTCCTTTTTTTCTCTGTTTTTTTTTACTACTCCTAAATCTGCCACATTAAAAACTATGGTCCATGCTCAAAAGCGACCAAATTGAAGCCAAATCGATATTGAATTATTGCATAAACATTGAACACTATTGTCCCCTTGTTCATAAATCATAGGATGATGTGCAAAAGGAAACAAAATAACAATATCCTTGATGTTACTAAAATGACCCATATAAATTAATTTAATTACTACTTTATCCAAAAATAATTCTACACATAAAAATTTAGATTTTACAGAGTAGCCCAGGTATTCCTTCATGGCAGTCTTTCCCTTGATTGGGTCTCCCCGCCTCCTTCTGTTCTTCGAAATTTGGTTAGGGTTGTTTAGCTCTGGTTGTTTAACTTGTTGGTTTGCTCTGTTTCTCATTTCTCTGTTCAAAAAAATACAAAAACAAAAACAAAAACGTGTTCAAAAGAAAAATTAATAGACAAAGAATTAATTTAATATTTTGATATAAATTAGTGACTATATTGTAATTTTAAAAAGTAGTTCAAATTTAGAAGATTATAAACTGATTAAATCCAATCAAACAGTTTCAATTGACGTGATTTGATTAGTATGCAGCTTGCCCGCCGTCCGAGATCAGACTATATGGTGTTGTTCGGTCAGTGGGGGCTCACCACAAGTCATGTTTTGTTAATTCGAACTATTAATGTGTAAAACTCGTCGATTACTATATGCCTGTAAAAAATCACGTTGATCGGATATCGATAGTTATGTGATCAAATCAGTTTGTATAAAAAATGGACGGTAAACAAATTAATGGTTGACAAAAAATCGATCCAATGAGATAGCTATCGATATCTGATCAACGTGATTTTTTACAGGTATATAGCACTCGACGAGTTCTATACGTTAAACGGTTCGGATTATTAAAACGGGACCAGTTGTGGGCTCCCATGGGCTAAACAGTACCATCCAGTTTGATCTCAGACTGCAAGCAAGTTGCTCCCATTTGATTATTATTTGACCAACAAAAGAATCTGTATCAAAACTCAAAATAATAAAACTGAGGATAAATTATAAATACACTTCCTGAGATTTACTTAAAATATAGATTGACTTCTATGATTTAAAAAATTATAAATACTCATTTATTATAATTTTTTATTTAATAGAATTAACTAAAAAATTAAATTCATAATTGCCTTTCTATATAATAATAAAATTATCTAAATTATTAATTGAAACATATTTTTAACATCATTGAAAACTGTTAACTGACTTGATGATTTATTAATAAAAATAGTGACTTGTTATGAAATTAGAAACCTCAGGGGGTGAAATGTCATTTTCAAAATTACATGGGATGATTCGTATTTTAATCAAATCTCAGTGAATGTATTTGTAATTTATCCTAAAACTTAAGGTAAATTATAAGTGTCAGATTTTCGATCAATTTGCAATCAATTTGTTTTTGGTAAAGGTTAAGAGATTCGGATTACAGAGATGATCAGAACCGGTGCTGTTTCGCGGCGAAAGAGATCGTCGAAGATGATCGGAGAAAGCTTCGACAACGACGACGTATCGTCTTCCAATTCTCATGAAGTTCATGTTCTTGCCGTTGATGATAGCCTCATCAATCGAAAAGTCATTGAATGATTGCTCAAAATCACCTCCTGCAAAGTTACAAATCAATTCTCTCTCTCTCTCTCTCTCTCTTTCCTCCCTCTCTCCCTTCTAGGAGGCAACAAAGGCATGTTTGGTGGAGTTGTTTGGTTATACATATTTTTTTAAACACAGATTTGAGTTTTGAATATATGTATATATATATATATATATATATTTGTGTGTATGAGTGTTGTTGAACACATGTATTCTTTTCATTGAGATTTGTGATTGTTGATCGAGTTTTAGAAGTTTTTCTTCTCAATTAGATATGTTGATTTGTTGATTAATTTGTTTTTTTTTTTTTTTGATTTATTTTTGTTGTTTTTTATCTAATTTCATTTGACAGAACCAGAGTAATTACTCTGGTTCTATTGCTCTATTTTTTGTTTCAGCTAATGAGAGTAAAATTTTACTCTGGTTCTATTGCTTTGTTTTTTGTTTGACAGAATTAGAGTAAAATTTTACTCTGGTGTTAGAATGATAGTAAAATTTTACTGTCAAGAGGTGGTCATTGCCAAACACTTTAGCTGCCACAAACACTGCCTTCGCTTTTTTACTTTTGTGCAGAGTAACATTTTACTTTTAGCTTCAAAGTCTCACAGTTTACTTGTTTTTTAGAATAAAATTTTACTTTTATACAGAGTAAAATTTTACTTTTGTGTAGAGTCTAACATTTTACTAATTTTTGAATTGATCTGTTCATACTCAGCTTGTTCAATGGATGATCTATTCAATTTCTCTCTCTTTCTCTCTCTCTAATAAGAATCTCTCTAATAAGAATTTCACACAGAAATTTTACTCTGAATCAGAGTAAAATTTTACTTTGGTTAAAAACATGTTGATTTGCTTAACAATATAAAATTTTACTTTAAATCATAGTAAACTTTACTCTGATTCAGAGTAAAATTTTATTCTGAATCAGAGTAAAGTTTACTGTGATTCAAAGTAAAATTTTACTCTGAAATACACAGTGAAGATGACTTAATAGGAGAGCTGATAGATATGAGAGTAATATAATAAAAGAAACAAGTTTTAAAATATTATGGGGTTTTGAAAGTACTTATATAATTATTATCCTTTTGAAAGACAAATTAGATAGTTAGGGGTCTATCACCAAATCCCCCTTCCTTTATTAGTGGAGTAAAAAAAATTTGTTGCTCTTACACTTTTAGTTGGATTTTCCAACGAGTTTGTGGTAATTACTTAAGAGTTAAGTAGTTCTCCCTTCAAGAGAGAACCAAAACACTTGTACATCACCTTTTTTTTAATTGTGCTGTAGTTGCAGTAATTATTGTTATTATTTTTGTAATGGTTGATAAAAAGTCAAAATCATTATAGTATATGTATATAGAGTAGAATTAAAAAATATATAGGATCTGTTACAATTGGGGACTAATGGTCTTATGTTTGGGCTAACCCTGGATGGAATATTAGATTGGTTCTTGAAGATGATGAGTTATAGCACTCAGATTCAATGCCATAATTTTTATTGCAGCTGTCGGGAAAACGAGTTGGGATTGTGGGGCTGGGATATATTGGCTCCGAGGTTGCAAAAAGGCTTCAGGCCTTTGGCTGCAGTATCTCCTACCTCTCAAGACAGAAGAAGGCACATGTACCGTTCCCTTATTATGCAAATGCTTGCGATCTCGCAAATGACAGTGACATTCTCATTATTTGTTGTTCGCTGACAAATGAAACCTACCACCTTATTAACAAGGATGTCATGACAGCATTGGGGAAAAAAGGTGTCATCATCAATGTTGCGCGAGGGGCTGTTGTCGATGAGAAGGAATTAGTACAATTTTTGGTGCAAGGTCATATTGGAGGTGCGGGTCTTGATGTGTTTGAGAATGAACCAGATGTACCAAAAGAGCTATTTGAATTGGATAATGTTGTTATGTCTCCACATAAAGCTGTAGCAACCCCTGAATCTCTCGAATCATTGCTAGAGGTAAACATAGCGAACCTAGAGGCCTTTTTCTCAAATAAACCTTTGCTGTCACCGATTGACCTTGAATAAAGTGGCCTAGAGGGATTCTCTGATTGACCTTTTGTTGTTGTGGATTGACCTTGAGGCTTGAATAAAGTGATTGTCCAATCTTTTCATGTATTGGCTTCGGATATAGGTATTGGCAAATGTTGACATCAAGAGTTCATAAGATGATCAATAGAAGCTTCATGGCGAGTTCAACATGAGTGTGAATGATTGCAAGAGCGACGGTTCTGATGTTGTGCGGTTCTTGTGGATGATATTGTTTTGGCCTCTTTTTCATGGCATTAAGAACGCAACAAATTGAGATTTTCAAAAGTAAATGAAAACATTATGTTTGGATCTGTCAATGTTTGTGGCGACTTCAACAACCCCGGAAAATGAAGTAGCATTTATCGAACAAATGTTGATAGCACAAATTTTAGAAGACATTCTGAGAAATTGTCAGGAAAGCAAGAGTGCTTCAGTTATGCAAATTGTCTGGAAAATGAAGAGGCAATTGCCGAACAGAGAGGATTGTAACTTATTTTTGGTAATGTTTTGTTTTTTTTTTTTTTTTTTTTTTTTTTTTTTTTTTTTTTTTGTGTGGTTCTTTTTCATTTGATTGCTGAGAAATTGTCAGGAAAGCATGAGTGGCTCGCTTATGCAAATGGATATTGCTGTTGCATATAATTATTATTAATTCTTATGTAATGTTTGATGGTATATGTAAACACACCCCAATTGTTAAAAGAGCATTTTCAACACAATTTCTTCACTTTTAAATTTGAAGAAAAAGTGCAATCTGAATCTGTTTTGTATAAGGCAGATTCTTGATAACTATGCTTGGTTATCATTTTTTAAAAACACTTTTTAGAAAATTTTATTTTTTTTATTTTTCGTGTTTTTTTGTTTTTACTGAATTTTTTAAATATTTTGAGCAATTTTTATAATATTTAAACATACTTAACATACATATACCTAAAAAGTTAAAAAAAAAAATTGAAAAAAACTTTTTAAAAATTCACTAAATACCAAAAATACAAAAAAAAAAAAAAGAACACATGAACAGATAGATGGATACATGGACAGATAGATAGGACACGTGAACAGATGCATAGGTGAACACTTGGATAGATAAGTAGGACATCTAGACAGATAGTGGCTTTCAAATTGTTGTTGTCCTTGCGGACAAAAACGAATAGAGCTTTAGGCAATTGCCCCAAAAATTTAAAAATTGAAGTTCTGGGCTGTGCGCTATTTTAGTTTTAACAACATCAATATGCATGACTTTTGACTATAAACTTTTACTCATTGAATTGATGGCAATTAATAGAATAACATACCAAGTAGTCATGCCCAATAAGATTTAACTCAATATTTTCAATCTCCTATATTAATAAACAACTACCTTTACTTTTATATTTTGGTCTTCCCTTTATGGGAAATTTAGCTATAAACCCCCTTTACCTTCTTTTCATTGTTAAAAGGACTAAGAAAAAAATTATACTTTCTAAACCCCCTCATAATTATAAAGTCTTGCATAAAGGACAAAATTTATTATTTAAATATTTTATATGATTATCTCTGTTATCAGAATCTTACGATTCGCGATTCGATTCACGATTCGATACGTAATTTTTGCAAAATCGATACGAATCTATGAGTGAATATATTTTAGAAGTGAATCTTTAGTGAATCGCACGATTCACAATCGATTCACGATTCGATTCACTTTTTACGATTCATGCAATTTTTGAAATTATTGTGTTCGACATATTTTCGACTCATTTTTTTTTCATCTTTTTAGTGAAAATGACATAATACAACTTCTAATAGTAGTTAATATCAAAATAACTAACATATATATATGATTTGTTATTGTTTTAGTGATCATGAAATTTTTTATAGGATCCAATCAGATTCAGTCAGACCTAACATATTTTTAACCTTTCTTCTCATTTTTGTCCCCTTCAAAAAATTGTAATATATCTTCTAAAGATGTTTAAGATTAGAGTTACACTATGAATTATTTATTACTATTTTATTAAATTGAATACTACATGTGTGAGGTCAGTTATACCAGTTAAAATGTTTTAGGCTTTAAAATAAAATATCCCAAATAATTCTTTCTTATTATTTGCTCACTCTTACTTAAAAAAGTATATATGCTTATTGTCCAAATATCAATATCGTTGTTAACTATTGTTACTTTAGAAATTAATAGTTTCTATTTGGTTATCACCTTTATTAAGAATGGTTGATAAAAAATCTATAAAAAAAAAAAAAAGGGTAAGATGGTGATTTTACATAGGAGCCTTTGTTAATTTCTTACTTATTAAATTACGTGATTATCATTCAAAATAACATTTTTGTTGATTTAAGTCTAAATATTTTATATTCATAAGATACATTTAACATCTAAATTTGTAGATATATGTTTTTAAGTGATTTAGAAAAAGTGACCGAATCTTTACGATTCATGATTCGATTCAATTCGCGATTCGGTACGAGACCATTTCGATTCACGCTACGAATCCCGATTTGACAACTATGATGACTATTATACCCACAACTAATTCTTCCCACTCTCTTCCGCACTCTCTTCCTTTTTAAATCCACAGACAGCTTCTGCATATATAATCAGGAAGTGTCAGATTTTTGATCAATTTGCAATCAATTTTTTGTTGGTAAAGGTTAAGAGATTCGGATTAGAGAGAGGGTCAGAACTGGTATTGTTTCGCGGCGGAAGAGATCGTCGGAGATGATCGGAGAAAGCTTCTACGATAACGACGTATCGCCTTCCGATTCTCCGGTGCTGTTTCACGGCGGAAGAGATCGTCGGAGATGATCGGAGAAAGCTTCGACGACGACGACGTATCGCCTTCCAATTCTCATGAAGTTCATGTTCTTGCCGTTGATGATAGCCTCATCAATCGAAAAGTCATTGAATGATTGCTCAAAATCACCTCCTGCAAAGTTACAAATCAATTCTCTCTCTCTCTCTCTCTCTCTTTCCTCCCTCTCTCCCTTCTAGGAGGCAACAAAGGCATGTTTGGTGGAGTTGTTTGGTTATACATATTTTTTTAAGCACAGATTTGAGTTTTGAATATATGTATATATATATAGATATTTGTGTGTATGAGTGTTGTTGAACACATGTATTCTTTTCATTGAGATTTGTGATTGTTGATCGAGTTTTAGAAGTTTTTCTTCTCAATTAGATATGTTGATTAATTTGTTTTTTATTTTTTTTTATTTTTTATTTTTGTTGTTTTTTATCTAATTTCATTTGACAGAACCAGAGTAATTACTCTGGTTCTATTGCTCTGTTTTTTGTTTCAGCTAATGAGAGTAAAATTTTACTCTGGTTCTATTGCTCTGTTTTTTGTTTGACAGAATTAGAGTAAAATTTTACTCTGGTGTTAGAATGACAGTAAAATTTTACTGTCAAGAGGTGGTCATTGCCAAACACTTTAGCTGCCACAAACACTGCCTTCGCTTTGTTACTTTTGTGCTGAGTAACATTTTACTTTTAGTCTCAGAGTCTCACAGTTTACTTGTTTTTCAGAATAAAATTTTACTTTTATACAGAGTAAAATTTTACTTTTGTGTAGAGTCTAACATTTTACTAGTTTTTGAATTGATCTGTTCATACTCAGCTTGTTCAATGGATGATCTATTCAATTTCTCTCTCTCTCTCTCTAATAAGAATCTCTCTAATAAGAATTTCACACAGAAATTTTACTCTGAATCGGAGTAAAATTTTACTCTGGTTAAAAACATGCTGATTTGCTTAAAAATATAAAATTTTACTTTGAATCATAGTAATTTTACTCTGATTCAGAATAAAATTTTACTCTGAATCAGAGTAAAGTTTATTATGATTCAAAGTAAAATTACTCTGAATCAGAGTAAAGTTTACTATGATTCAAAGTAAAACTTTACTCTGAAATTTTACTTTGGTTAAAAACATGTTGATTTGCTTAACAATATAAAATTTTACTTTAAATCATAGTAAACTTTACTCTGATTCAGAGTAAAATTTTACTCTGAATCAGAGTAAAGTTTACTGTGATTCAAAGTAAAATTTTACTCTGAAATACACAGTGAAGATGGCTTAATAGGAGAGCTGATAGATATGAGGGTAATATAATAAAAGAAATAAGTTTTAAAATATTATGGAGTTTTGAAAGTACTTATATAATTATTGTCCTTTTGAAAGACAAATTAGATAGGGGTCTATCACCAAATTCCCCTTCCTTTATTAGTGGAGTAAAAAAATTTATTGCTCTTACACTTTTAGTTGAACTTTTCCAACAAGTTTGTGATAATGACTTAAGAGTTAAGTAGTTCTCCCTTCAAGAGAGAACCAAAACACTTGTACATTACCTTTTTTTTAATTGTGCTGTAGTTGCAGTAATTATTGTTATTATTTTTGCAATGGTTGATAAAAAGTCAAAATCATTATAGTATATGTATAGAGTAGAATTAAAAAATATATAGGATCTGTTACAATTGGGGACTAATGGTCTTATGTTTGGGCTAACCCTGGATGGAATATTAGATTGGTTCTTGAAGATGATGAGTTATAGCACTCAAATTTAATGCGATAATTTTTATTGCAGCTGTCGGGAAAACGAGTTGGGATTGTGGGGCTGGGATATATTGGCTCCGAGGTTGCAAAAAGGCTTCAGGCCTTTGGCTGCAGTATCTCCTACCTCTCAAGAAAGAAGAAGGCACATGTACCGTTCCCTTATTATGCAAATGCTTGCGACCTCGCAAATGACAGTGACATTCTCATTATTTGTTGTTCGCTGACAAATGAAACCTACCACCTTATTAACAAGGATGTCATAACAGCATTGGGGAAAAAAGGTGTCATCATCAATGTTGCGCGAGGGGCTGTTGTCGATGAGAAGGAATTAGTACAATTTTTGGTGCAAGGTCATATTGGAGGTGCGGGTCTTGATGTGTTTGAGAATGAACCAGATGTACCAAAAGAGCTATTTGAATTGGATAATGTTGTTATGTCTCCACATAAAGCTGTAGCAACCCCTGAATCTCTCGAATCATTGCTAGAGGTAAACATAGCGAACCTAGAGGCCTTTTTCTCAAATAAACCTTTGCTGTCACCGATTGACCTTGAATAAAGTGGCCTAGAGGGATTCTCAGATTGACCTTTTGTTGTTGTGGATTGACCTTGAGGCTTGAATAAAGTGATTGTCCAATCTTTTCATGTATTGGCTTCGGATATAGGTATTGGCAAATGTTGACATCAAGAGTTCATAAGATGATCAATAGAAGCTTCATGGCGAGTTCAACATGAGTGTGAATGATTGCAAGAGCGACGGTTCTGATGTTGTGCGGTTCTTGTGGATGATATTGTTTTGGCCTCTTTTTCATGGCATTAAGAACGCAACAAATTGAGATTTTCAAAAGTAAATGAAAACATTATGTTTGGATCTGTCAATGTTTGTGGCGACTTCAACAACCCCGGAAAATGAAGTAGCATTTTTCGAACAAATGTTGATAGCACAAATTTTAGAAGACATTCTGAGAAATTGTCAGGAAAGCAGGAGTGCTTCAGTTATGCAAATTGTCTGGAAAATGAAGAGGCAATTGCCGAACAGAGAGGATTGTAACTTGTTTTTGGTAATGAGACGTTTTCTTTTGTTATTTTTTTTTTTTTTTGGTGTGGTTCTTTTTCATTTGATTGCTGAGAAATTGTCAGGAAAGCATGAGTGGCTCGCTTATGCAAATGGATATTGCTGTTGCATATAATGATTATTAATTCTTATGTAATGTTTGATGGTATATGTAAACACACCCCAATTGTTAAAAGAGCATTTTCAACACAATTTCTTCACTTTTAAATTTGAAGAAAAAGTGCAATCTGAATCTTTTTGTATAAGGCAGATTCTTGATAACTATGCTTGGTTATCATTTTTCAAAAATACTTTTTAGAAAATTTTATTTTTTTTATTTTTCGTGTTTTTTTGTTTTTACTGAATTTTTTAAATATTTTGAGCAATTTTTTTAATTTTTAAACATACTTAACATACATATACCTAAAAAGTTAAAAAAAAAAAAAATTTGAAAAAAACCTTTTAAAAATTCACTAAATACCAAAAATACAAAAAAAAAAAAAAAACTAGAATTCAGTACATTTTTTTGTATTTTTATGTATTTATTAATTTTTAAAAATATTTTTTCACAAATTTTTTACTTTTTAGATACATCTAAGTAAGGTACATCTAAAAAAGTAAAAAAAATATTTAAAATTTCAAAAATATTCACTAAAAATAAAAAAAACACAAAAATTAAAAAATTCAATTTTTAAAAAACTTAATTCAAAAAACTCAAACCAAACACACTTTGGATGTTGGCCTCCTAGATTGGCTTAGATTCCAAACATTCAAATTTTTAGATATGAGCTTGTAATTTGCATTTGATTATTCTTCACCTCGGCTGCTATTTGTGTTGTTTTAAGGTGATCATTAATGGATGTGGCTAATGTGAAGAGATTCGGACCTCTTCTAAGCTCGGTTAGAATAAGAAATTATATTTTCATATTTTATTTTAATTTGTTTTCAGTTCCTACTTAATGTAATAGGTTGTAATGAGCTAGCCCATAATTTATATCTTGTGACACTCCTGTAATTATGTTTTATTCTTAATATAAAAAGGGATGAGGTCTCTCACAATCTCTATCTCTATCTCTTTCTCTTCTCTAAACTTACATGGTATTAGAGCCAAAATCCTAGCTCATCCCTTCTTTGCTCTTCTTCTCTTTTGTTGGCAATCCCCTATCTCTTTAGCACCACTGTCGGCATCCCTTTTCATTTATTGGTAGTCTTTTCTTTTCCCCAACAATCTAGTCGGCCAATGTAGACCCTCACCCAACCCACCTACAGTCAACCCAAACCTTCAACCCCCTTGCCCGAGTCTTTGGCAGTCCTCCTCGACTCCTCGACAACCTATTCGGCTTAGTCGGCAGCCCCTTTGGTCTTCTAGGGGCCTATCAGTAGTCCCTCTGGCCTTCTAGGGGCCTATTAACAGCCTTTCTGGCCTTCTTGGCCCCTGTTGGCATCTTTCTTGCCTACTAGGCCTCTGCCGACCAGTCTGTAGGCATACCCTCTGTCAGTCTTCTCTTTTCTGTGATGTTTTTCCCTTAAACATTGTTTAAACATCTTTTAAAATCAAAAAAAAAAAAAAAAGAGTTCTTAATTTTCATATGATTTTTTAGTGGTCATAGTGTTTGCTATTCCTCCACTATCTTTCAAGTTTATGATTGGTACTAGTTTTGTTTAGGGTTAGGTAGTAGAGTATCCATGGCAGATTCCACAAGTGTGTCCACTACTTCTCAGACACCTAAAAGTGATATGATTGATAACCCCAACCCTAGTCTTAAAATCACCACCTCTCTATTCAATAGTCAGAACTATCTACCGTAGTTGCAAAGTTTGACTATCTTTTTGAAGAGCAGAGGGAAGATGAGGTATATTGATGGCATGATACAAGTACCCAGCACCATGGACCCTAGTTATGATCAATAGGGGATCACCAACTCCCTAATTATGGGTCTGTTGATACATTCTATGGTTCCAGAGATTGGAGAGGGCTATCTCTCTATGGACACTGCATAAGATATTTGGGAGGCAGTGGCTACTATTTACTCCCGGAAGGCGAATTTCTTCTAAGCTTTTGAGTTACGCCAGTCCATTGAGCGGGCAGTATAGGGTGAGATGGCTGTTCTCTAGTATTTTACTTTCCTTATCAATTGGTAAAAGAGACTTGACCATCTTCAGGATTATAAGCTTGTCTGTCCCACGGATTTTGTTGGTTATCGAAAGTTTGTGGAGTAAGAGCGTGTCTTCAAGTTCTTGGAAGGCCTGACTGTGAAGTATGATCCGGTTCAAAACAAAGTACTATACTTGGTATGGACGTGTTTCATTCTCTCTAGGAAGCTTTCTTTTAGGTGCAGAATAAGGAGAGTCGCTGCTCTGTGATGTTTCCTTCTACCACCACTGATCCCTTTGCCTTGGTTTTTGCACCTTCCCGAGATGGAGAACATGTGTCTCGTGGTTCTCGTCCTTCATCTGAGAAGGATAATCTTTTCTTTTGACTACTACCATAGACCTAGACATACACGAGAGACTTGTTAGAAGCATGGGACTCCTCCTTGTGGCCGAGGCGATCGTCCTGGTTCTCGAGGAGGTTGATCGAGCTAGTCTAAAGAGCAAGGGGCCAATACTTGGGGCACATCTTTCTAACACGGTTGAAACACCACCTTCAACTCCTATTGTCTCACCAGTTGCTAATGTTTTTGGGTTGTCTGCCTCAAAGTTTGAGATTGCTCTTCACCACTTACTAGACTATCGAGCCTCTCTACTACTATCTCTAGTGCATCATCTTTTTCCTTTGCCAACTCAAGTAACTTGGCTTCCTCTACAAGTGCATTGCTATCTCATAAGATTGTTCCTTAGATTATTGACTCAGGTGCCTCCGACCATATGTCTGGTTTCTCTAATTTATTCTCAGAGTATACACCTTTCTTAGGTCAGGAAAAAGTGTGTATTGCTGACGATACTATTTCGTCTATGTTAGGGAAAGGTTTAATTCATACCATTTCTTCCCTTCTTTTATCCTTTGTACTTCATGTTCCCAATTTTAGTGTTAATTTTTATCTTTGAGTCGTATTACTTGTGATTTGAATTGTAGCGTGACGTTTTTTTCCTAATCATTGTCTTTTTTAGGATCTTATCACGAGGAAGAAAATTAGTAGTGGTAGATAGGAACATGGTCTCTACATTCTGGATCAGCCTGACAAGCTTGCTCATTCATTTATTTAGTAACCATCCACCAAGGAAGACCTTTGTCTGTGGCACCGTCGCTTAGGACATCTCTCTTTTTTACTACTTAGGCATCTTTTTCCTTCTGTTTTTGAGAAAAATAATGTGTTTGATTTTCAATGTGAGTCATGTCAACTTGGAAAACAGCACAGAGCTTCTTTTGCTCCTTCTATTAATAAAAGTTCAGTTCCATTTTCTTTGATTCATTCTGATATATGGGGTTCCTTACGTTTTGTGTCTTTAAAAGGTCAAAAATGATTTGTTACTTTCATAGATGACTATTCTAAGGTCACTTGGGTATATTTGATGAAAGAAAAAAGTGAGATGTTTTCTGTGTTTCAAAACTTTTATAAACTGGTTTGCACTCAATTTGAGACGGTTGTCAAAATTTTGCATTCTGATAATGGGGAATATATTGACTCTGGTCTTGCCAGTTATTTCGTCACTCATGGCATTATTCATCAAACTTTGTGCACTAACACCCCTTAACAAAATGATGTTACTGAACGAAAAAAATCGCTATCTCCTTGATGTGGCCCGTTGTCTATCCTTTGAAATACGTGTTCCTCGATCCTATTGGAAGGAAGCGGTTTTCACTGCAACTTATTTGATTAATCGTTTTCCTACCCAAGTCTTTCAAAAACAAACACCTCTTCAAGTTTTGTTCAGGTTCACATCTTCTGGGTTCTCCATTCCCTCTAAGACTTTTGGATGTGTTTGTTTTGTTTATAATCATCCACCCGCCCGTGGTAAATTGGATCTTAGCTCTCTTAAGTGCGTTTTCCTGGGTTACTCTGCAACTCAAAAGGGTTATAAATGTTATCATCCTTTTCACTCGCAAATGGTTTGTCTCTATGGATGTCACATTCTTTAAGTCCCAGTTGTACTTTTTAACCTCCCCAGTGTCAAAGTCATCCCTTTAGAGGGAGCCTTGGTATGCAGAGATTCATGTTCCACTACCGCCAATGGTTAAACAAATAGAGGATGATGGGCCCGCAGTTGTTGTGGAAAATGAAGCAGGCAAATTTTATGTCAAAGACAAAGATAGACAGAAAGTCACCTGGATGCAAGAGACTATTTTTCCTCCTCTACTACCAACTTCTTCTTTGGATAAGGGTCCAGAGTCATCCATTTCACCTGGGAGTCCAGGTAATTCTGATCCTAATGCTCATATTCCTAAGTTTTCAGATCTTGATGTTCTCATTGCTAATAGGAAGGGATTAGGTCATGTACTCAGTATCCTATGACTAATCATGTCTTTTATTATAATTTGTCTCCCTTGTATAAAGCTTTCATGTCTAAGATTTCTTCTGTGAGTTCATCTAACAATTTTCAGGATACTCTCTCTATTCCTAAATGGAAACGTGCCATAATGGAAGAGATGCGAACTCTTAACAAGAATGACACTTGGGAATTAGTGGAGTTACCTAAACGCAAAAATCCAGCTGGGTTTAAGTGGATGTACATTGTGAAACACAAAGTAGACGGTTCTATAGAACTATACAAAGCAAGACTAGTTACTAAGGGTTTCACTCAGACTTATAGGGTAGATTACCAGGAGACATTTGCACCGATTGCTAAGATGAACTATGTGAGAATATTACTCTTTCTTGCAGGAGATTCGGATTGGCCACTTCATCAGTTTGATGTGAAAAATGCCTCCTTTCATGGAGACCTAAAAGAAGAGGTCTCCATGGATATTCTCACTGGTTTCGATGATGCTAAGTCCAAAGGTAAAGTGTACAGACTTCGGAAGTGTAACAATCCGAAAATTTAAGTTGTCTCTTAAATTTTATATTATTATTCGAAATTATTTTCTAAGTATTATGATATTTTTATTATATTTTTCTAGACCAAAATATACTAAAATACAACATTTTCTGTACAACAACTTGCGTGCCCCGCAAGTGTCTTGCCGTCTATGCTTTCTTCACTATATATATTTGTGCT